TATTTTACAGACATGTTTTACATGCTAGTCGGACTCATGTAGATTTGCTAAAGCCTGTCTCACTTTACAAAGATCCTGTCCTATTAAAGGGATAGTAAAACCATTAAAGCCCATACCATTCTTGAGATTCCAGTTGAATTAAGCTTTCCTTCATATCTCTGTTGAACACAGTCTTATCTGGCCTAGTGAACTGGACATTATATATTGCTTTTCTCATACCTACTTCTCTCAGTAATGTCTACCCCTCCTTTGTAGTCCTCCAGCCCTTGCTAATCATGTTAGTCTCCCTTAGTGATGACCAGGTATCTTTAATGACTTCAACCAGCCATCCCTTTAAGGACTGTTTCCCCCTTGCATTGGCCTAGGTTGAACTGCCTATATCACAAGGCTGGATGAGTGATAACTCAGCTGTGAAGCTTCTGAAGGACTTGGACTGACATCATTTGCTCCCATGTCCCATACTCTCACAAGCCATATGACTAGGGGCTCTCTGATTGCTTGCTTGTAAGTTCTTCCTAGTTTTGACAGTTCTAGTATGGAGTATTTCCTAGCTACAGCACTGTTAGCTTTTTTTCCCCCTTTTGTATCAATGGGTGAATCTGAGGGGCAGCTTTAGCTACTTTTATTTTCAGGTCATTTTCCTTTTTACTATTATCTTTCTCTTCCTCTGAGTCCTTGGACCTTACACAAGTTAAAGTGTCAAGCTCTGCAACTGGATCTGCCAGCGTCCCCTGCCAGGGGAACATATTTTATTATGCAAAGTGGCCATGCCACTTCTCTAGGCACTCTGTTTGGGGGTAAAAGTTTTTCTAGTCTCTGAATAGCCTTTAACAAATCTTCACATATCTGCAACTTAACACCACATTTACAAGATAGCTGTGGCCCAAGCTTCTGCAGGGCTGGCCTCCTTTTAGCTACAGATTTTATAATCCATTGTATAACCCATGTGACTATCGCTAACCCCATTAAGCATATGGGGGTTGATTGCCTTCCCCGCTGGGTTCTTGGCAGCTGCTCTTGGATTTGGGAACCACAGCCCAGCTGACCTGCCACAGAGGCAGTGGGAACAGCACTGCTTTCCCAGACCCACATCCCCAAGGCTGTGGTTCATTTATCCCAGCTGGACTATGCCAATTTTGTCACCAGAGTTCTCTCTGTGTCTCTTGCACTATCAGTCAAACCATATAACATATCTTTATGTGCATTTATTATTGTGAGTGGGGGAGGGGAGTGACTTACACAAAAACGATCTCCATGCAGCTTTGTGCCTGGCCTCAGAGTCTGCCATATCAGATCATTTCTGCGGCATGCCCATATATGGGGCGCGCGGTCCCGCGGGGATCGGTCCCCTGCGCGCGCCCTGGAAGGCAGCGAGTTCCGCGGGGATTCTCAGTCACGCGTCGCTGTCCGCCACTTGAGGTTCTCAGTCACGCGTCGCTGTCCGCCGCTTGAGGTGCTGAAGGTCTCGCAGCACCGCAGCCCCGCATCTCTGTTGCGGCAGCAGGGCTCTGCTTCTCCGCTGCTTCCCTGCATCTTCCGTGGCTCTCTGCTGCTGGAGCTTTGTCCAGCCGGGTCCTGCCCTTATTTCACCCGTGCATTTTCCTCAATATGAGAGTTCCACCGGCCGCTGGACCACGCGGGAAAGTACGGGGCGGCTGAACCTGGGTGTCCGTGAGTCGAGGAAAGACAGCTCTTCCCGGGAAGGCTGGATCGTAGGCAGTGAGACAAGACTCAGCTCAGTCAGACTCAGTGTTTATTCAATGGCTCTGCGTGGCTCCAAGCCTCAGTGTCCCAGAGTGATCCAGCTCCTTCAATTATTGAGGGGAATCAGGGAACTTTATACCGTAGGGGTAGTGGTAAAAGCTTCAGCTGATAGGTACTTTGGGGATGCCTCATTTGCGTGTGGAAATGGGCTCCCGCCAGGCTGCCAAACTGCTTGAAAATCACACAGGAAAGCCTAATGGTTACAGAGCCGGAGGCTACATTCCTGTGGCTGCTACTTCACAAAGGAGTCAGGAAAAATGCCGGGAAGATGCCCTGCTGTGAAAGGAGTCTCTGCATATGGCTCCGAGCTTGTGAGCTATCCGGACATGAAGAAACTTCTACTTTACACAACAAAGGTCCCCAACGCCCATAGTCACCCCTAGCTTTTGCCCATGCCTCAGGGGCCAGCGGTCTTGCCCTAGGCCATAAGTGTCAGGCCACTCTTCCTTGAGTAGCCTGGCTGCTATGCGTTCCCCATGCCTGCCACTGTGCATTCCTGGTGGCTCACAGCTTCTATCCCAAGATGGCACCACAAGCCCCTCCTTCTGTGGTTAACTCTCCACAGCCAATTCTCTGCAGCAGGCCCCGCCTCTTGGAGGAACCAGAACTCCTGGGGAACACCCCCTCTCCCAACAATTTTAAATGCCAAGAGGGCCCTCTTCTAGCCATTATGAAATGTTGATAGACCTGATCTTGTGCAGGTCTCGTACAGATAACCACACTGATATTTCTATAGTATCAATAATAGTACATGTATTAGGATATCCAATTTTCTTTTACTTTGGAGTCTATAAATAGTTTAATGTTTCCCTATAAATTTGATTCATCTACTTTTTTTAAGGGGGAAAGGATTTATTTTACCTCATAGTTCAATGGTCCTCATAGTCCATCATGGTGAAGAAATCATGACAGCAGGATCTTGAGACAGCTGGTTGCCCTGCAGCCAAAATTTGGAAGCAGACTAATGCATATTGGTGTTCAGCCAGCTTTCTCCTTTTGGGGTATAAAGTTTTAGTTGAATTTTTGTGTATTTCATACAGAACATCTTAATCATCTTTATACCCCTTCCTCATTGGCATCCTCCCACAGCCAACCCCCAGTGGAATGCATGCATTCTGTCATTTTTTTAAGGCCTATTGAGTCAATTTAGTGACACTAGACATCCCTCAGTACAAGTTCATCCTCTGAGACCTAGTCAGTCCATCTAGAGTCCCTCAGTTTAAGATAAGCTCTTCCTCACCCAGTGATAATCAGCTGCCAAAAGTTCTTCAGTTAAGATTAGGGTCTGCTGACCATTTCCACAGTTCTGTGCTGGGTTTTTGCCTGCTTGAGTTTGCACGAATCTTGTGCATACTGACACCATGGCTGTAGGTTCATATGAGCAAAATCCCGGGAGCCTGTAGGACTCTATTTCCATATAGTCATGCACCTCCTCCCTGGCTCTGACAATCTTTCCAAACCCTCTTCCACAATGGCCCCTGAGCCCTAAATGGATGGAGTTTAATATAGGAGCCCTGTCCAAGGACTCACTCTTTGCAGACTCTTATTCTCTATGCATTGGCCATTTGTGTCCTTTTGTGTCCATTGCCCTTTTCTGCATGAGGAAGCTTCATTGATGAGAGTTGAGAGGTGCATTAATATTCTCTCTACCCCTTGTTACACTATGTTCTGTGAGTGCTAGGTGTGGAGGTTGCATTGTAGATGTGTTACTTAGGCATGGGCAATTCCAGAAAATCTCTGTGTATGACCAGTTGTGAAATTCTGTAACAATATCTGTCTGTTGCAAAAGGGGCTTCTTTGAGTGATGGCTGGGATACTTGTCTGTAAATATAAGAATCCATATTTTGCACATAGTAAGAAGTTATATTTGTTTTTCTTTAAGATCTATGACCTCTCCAGCCATGTATATTTGGCTATGTTTACAGTATGGCACAAAAGTTTCCTCTCATTGAGTGGGCTTTAAGTCCAATTAGGTAATTGTTGATTACTCCCAAGATAAAAGTGTCACTATTACACCAGTATAGTTTGTTGTGCTAGTCATTGTTGTGGTTATCAGGCCTTAAAATTGGAGTTGGACTATCAATCAATGTTCTCCCTTAGCAGCTTGCATAGTACTTTCTAAAACTATGAGAGGTAGCCTTCAGGGGAGGTAGCTTCCAGGTGAGTTCCAGCTCCATTGCTCCAAATCCTGTTTCTGAAGTATGTCCTTCAACAACTGGGTCTTACCTTCAAGTTCTGGGTAGCAATCAAAGGCTATGGTAATAGCCTGTGTAATTTTGGGATTCTCTTGGACTACCCTGACCAACAACTCAAAGGGAAGTTTCTCCTGTAATTTTTCAGTTGTATTTATTGGGTCTTTTCTGAGACAGGGTCTCCCTGTAGCCCAAGCTGACCTGGAACTCTCTATGTAGACCATGCTGGCCTTGAACTTACAGAGATCTGCCTGCCTCTGCCTCCTGAATGCTGGGACTAAAGGCATGCACCACCACACCCGGCTCAGTTGTATTTTTTAAAGTAAGGATGGCAATCCCTTTACTTATTTGTTTCAAATACCTCCAATTTTATTTGCTTTTGTAGCTTACTAATGATACTTTTGTTTTTAAAAATATTTTATTTGTTCTTCAAGAATTTCATATATATATGCAGTACATTCTGATCATCCTCACCCTTGACTCTGCTTTGCTATTCTTTCCAGATCATCTTCCACAGCATATATCCAAAGCATCACGTCCTTAAATTTTTTTTTTTAATAATGCATTGAGTTTAATCCCGCTGTCCATATATATGTATGGGTGTGTGGCCATCTACTGGAGTCATGGCAATCTATCTAAGGCTGTACCCTAGCAGGAAACTGATGCTACCTTCTCACAAAGTCAGCAACTGCCAATAGATAGTTGGCTATGGGTGTAGCTCTTCCCCATCTCTTTTTGAATGTTGTCTGGCTTGATCTTGTGCAGGTCTTCTGTAGGCAGCCATAGTTTCTGTGAGTTTAAGATTATAACCATCACGTCATGTCCAGAAGACACTGCTTTGTAGAAGTCCTCTCCAAGCTCTGGGTCTTAACAATCCTTCCAGTGCTTCTTCTGAGATGTTACCTTATCCTGATAGTGAGGACTTGTAGTATGCGTGCTTCAGAATTATCAAGTCATTCATTGTTTTTCTCTAATTTATATTTATGTGCATTTGGTGTTATTGATCTAAAAACTAATGCTTACTTTTTTGTTTTGTTTTGATAGGCCACATTATTTGAAAATGTAGGTCTTATAAAATATAGAGATTTTTTTTCCTTATTGGTAAACACATTACTTACAAAAGCAGTTTCAGATGAAAACATTACAGTGATTGACACAGACATTAGTGACATTCCTGTTCGTCTGTACTTGCCCAAGAAAAAGTCTGAAAGAAGGAGGCCAGCTGTGATTTATATTCATGGAGGTGCCTTTGTGGTTGGAAGTACGAGTAAGTGTATTTTTAAATATGTGTTTTAATTTGATTGTATTTCTTAACTTCTTAAAATGTTTTATATATTTATTTTATTTTATGAAAAAAAAATATATCCATGTTGTGAAATGTCTTTGGAGGTCAGAAAAGGATGTTAGATCACTTGGAACTGGAGTTACAGATGGTTGTTAGCTGCCATGTGGGTGCTAAGAATTGAACCTGAGTCTTCTGGAAGAGCAGTCAGTGCTTTTAACCACTGATCTATCTCTCCAGCCCCTAATTTGACTGTATTTGACTACAGTAAATCGACTGAACTCTGCATTCTCATGATCTTGCTCTATGTTTTCATGCAGTGATTTCATTTTTTTCCTTGTTCATTTAATAGTAATGATGATTTTTATTCTGACAGAATACAAAGAGACCAGTAGGCCATAACAAGCTTCTCCCATTTTGACCAATAATATACTTGGGGGAAGGCTTGAATTTGTGGTAATTTAGTGTATATAAGATTAGGAAGGTCTTATTACTCTGATTTAATGTTCCTTTTATGTAGGCAGTAGGATTTCCATAATCAAATCACAATCTATATTTCTATCTCTTTATAGATGTAGGTAGTTTTCCATTGTTTAATAGTCACCAACCATTTTACATTTATTTCTTCCATTTCAGAATTGATGCCCTATGATTTCTTGAACAGATGGACAGCAAACAAGCTTGATGCTGTGGTTTTGGGAATAGAGTAAGAGAATGACAATCTTCGTTATTGTGGTCCTTCCCTCACAGCACAGGATTGATTTACAAAACAAGTCATACAACTCTTCAAAGGGCATAATCTTTGCTAGGATTTTTTTGGTTCATGTTAATTATTTCTTAGCATTATAATATCAGTGTATCTGCAAGGGGTTCCCATTTTGGTTTAATCTCTGCCATGTGGACAACTGTGAGAGGCACAGAGAGGTAAGCTTCTTTGCAAACAGCTATAATTCTTCTAGGAATATAAAACTTAGATTCCTGAAGGGCTTAGTGTAATTCCCAGGTAACATACCCAGAAAACATAACCATTATACACTTGGGATGCTGGGTTTTATGTGAACTAATAATAGAAAACAGTGTAGACTAGAGTTATTTGGGGGACAAGTAACATGAGGTGAAAAATTTTTGGAACATTTGAACATTTTAAGAATTCTCCAAATGACAGCTCTTAAAATATAACTTTTACCAAATTTCCAACAAAATGCCAGAAAGATGATTAAACATCTTTCATTTTTTAAAATGTAATATTTAGTTTATTTTTACTTTTGTTAATTTCATACATGAGTATGGTCTTTACATTATTTTCATTCCTCCTAATATTCCATTAACTCTTCCTGTGTCCACTCACTTCTCAATTTATTGTCCCCTTCTTTAATTATTATTACATATACATAGATACATTTACTATATATTCATATATATGCCTATATAAATTACTGAACCCATTAAGTGTATTAAGTCCGGGAGTGTACATGTGATGATGGCTGTCTATTTGGATTAGATAATCTCTCAGGGAGAAATGATTCTCCCTCTCTCAGCATCAATTGATTGCCTGTAGTTCTTCATCTTGCAGTGGGACCCCATAACATTCTCCCTGGCCACCTTTGCATGTTAACTGGTTTTTTCATTAGGCAGACTTTGTTAGACTAGCATACTGTAGAGATCTCAGTGGAGGATCTTCCCTATCATATCTAGAATACATTAACTAGCATCCCGTGTCTTGACCCTCTTCCATGATGTGCCCTGAGCCTTGGGTGTTTAGGTTGCATAGTAGATGTGTCTCTTAGTGTTGTGCATCTCATAGTCAAATTATCAGCAATGGACCAGCTGTAGAACTATGTAATAGTCTCTGTGTTGCAAAAAGAAACTTCCTTGATGAGTGGTAAGAAGTATACTTGTTTGTAAATATAAGGGTGCATATTTAGAATACAGTAAGAAATTACATTGGTCTAGGGAAGTGACAAATGTAAGTGCTTCTCTAGGATCTATGACCTCTCCAACCATGTGTCCTTGGCTATGTTCACAGTGCCACACATGATTTCCCTTCTATTGAGTGGGCCTTAAGTCCAACAGACAACTGTTGATTACCTCTAAGATAAAAGTACTACTACTGCATCAGTAAAGATAGTTTGCTAAGTTGATCATTGTTATGGTTCACAGATTTTACAGCTGGGCAACATCCTTGATTGATTTTTCCCCTTGATAATATCTGTGTCCTATTATCTACCCTTTCTTAAATTCATTCTTCCCCTTTCCTCCTCCCTTTCCAGTTGAATATCACAATTTTTCCCATTTCCCCCTTGGTAATATCTGTCTCCCACTATGCTCATCTTTCATGCTCTTGCATTCCCTTAGATCCGTAGTTCCTTTCTTTTTTCCTGGCTCCTGCTGTTATATCCAGATATATAAGAATTTGATGCTAAGATCCATAAATGAGGGAGAACATATATTGCTCATTTTTCTGAGTCTGTGTTACTTCATTTAGCATAACATTTTCTAGGTCTTTCCTTACCACTGAGTAGCTCTCCATTGTGTAATTGTACCACATTTTCATTATCCATTTTTCAGTTGAGGGATATTTAGGTTGTTTCCCTTTCTTAGCTACTGTGAAAAGAGCAGCAACAAACATGGATGAACAAGTATATCTACAGTATAATGAGTCTTTTGGGCCTATGCCAAGTAGTGATATAACCAGATCACATGGTAAATTCATTTTTTGTTTTTTAATAGTTCCCCACACTGCTTTCCATAGTGGCTTCACACATATGAAATCCCATCAGCAATGACTGAGCAATCCCCTTTCTCCACATTCTCACCAGCATTTGGTGTCTTTTCTTCTCTTGATTTGAGCCAGTCTGACTAGGGTAAGATGCAATCTTAAAGTGGTTTTGATTTGCATTTCTCTAATTATTACAAACGTTGAGTACTTTTAAAGGTGTTAGTCATTTTATTTCTTCATTTGAGAACTCTCTGTTCATGTCTGTAGCCCATCTTTTTTCAGGGTTGCTTATTTTCTTGTTTCTTTGTTTTCTGAGTTCTTTGTATATTACAGATTTTAATCTTTTGTCAGATGTGTAGCAGGTGAAGACTTTTTCCTGCCTCAGTGTGTTTCCTCTTCACTTTCTTGGTTGTTTCTTTTTCTGTACAGAAGCATTTTAGTTTAATGAGGTTCCAGTGGTTGATTGTTGACCTTAGTGCCTGAGCATCTGATTTAGAAGGTCCTTTCTCACAACTGTATCTTACAAGGTACTGCCTATGATTTCTACTAACAGTTTCAGAGTTTCAGATTTCACACTGAGGTCTTTGATCTATTTGGAGTTGACTTTTGTGCAGGGTCAAAGATAAGGGTCTAATTTCATACTTCTACAGGTGGAGAAGAAAATTTAAATAGTAGTACAAAGTTTCTGTACTAAAAATGCCAATGTCCAGATGAATTCACAGGGGAATTTTACCAGACCTTTACCAATATTGCTTAAATTATTTAAAAAAATAGACACAGAGAGGAAATTCCCTGCCTCCTTCTATGAAATTAGTATTTCTCCAATACCAAAACCAAGTAAAGGTGCAATAAATAAGAAATCTATGAGCCCATAGCCCTAATGAGCCTAGATGTAAAAATTCTCAACAAAATACTTGCAAGTTGCACACACACACATATCAAAAAGATCATCCATCATGATCAAGTTTGCTTTAGTCTGGAAATGCAGGGATGGTTCAATGTACATGTCAATAAATCATATAAATTGACTTAAAAAGAATCACATGATCATCTCAATAGACCCAGAAAAGGTCTTTGAGAAAATTCAACACACATTCATGATAAAAGTCCTAAGGGAATTAGATTGGAGGGATCATGCCTCAATGTAATTAAAGCTATGTACCACAAACCACAGCCAACATCATTCTAAATGGAGAAAAACTTGAAGTATTCCCATTAAAATCAAGAACCAGACAAGGCTGTCCACTAATCCCACTCCTTTTTGATACAGTGCTGGCGAGGATGTGGGTAAATGGGAGCCTTCATTCACTGCTGATGGGATTAGAAACCCATGAAATCACCATGGAAAAGAAAGTGAAGAACTCTTAATAGTCTAAGAATAAGTCTACCATATGATTTAGTTGTGGCACTGTTTGGCATACTCCCAAAGGACTCAGTAGACTATTACAGTTACACTTGCTCAGCCATGTTTGTAGCTGCTCTTTTCACAGTAGCTAGGAAACGGAAACAACCTAGGTGTCCCCTAACTGATGAAGGGATAATAAAAAGGTTGTTCATTTATAGAATGAAGTTCTACTCATCAGTGAAGAAAAGTGAAATCATGAAACCTTCAGATAAATGGATGAAACTAGAAACTGTTATACTAAGTGAAGTAACAGAGACTCAGAAAAATCAGTAACATACGTTCTCTCTTATTTGTAGATCCTAGCTCCAAATTCTTATATGTGAGTATAGATCCTGATGCAACCCAGTAGCCAGGAAAATGAATAGGGACCATAGAAGTAAAAGGGAAGAAGGAGCTCGAGAGAGGGGATAGGAGGGAACAGGTATTATCATGGTGAAAGTGGGGCAATGGGGAATACTTTCACTGGGAGGGAATGGGGAGTGCTATACAGGGGGGGGGAGAGAAGGAATTAACAATGCTTAGGTGGTGTGGAAAAACGAGAGGAACATATTAGTTAAAAAGCTTGCATATATATATATATGCATATATATATATGTATATTCATGTGTATAGCTCAAGGCTGAATAACAAAAAACACAGTGCTAGGCAGGAGACTCCTCCCTTTGAGTTGTTACTCCAAGAGTAGTCCAAGAGACTCCCAAAATAGCACAGGCTATTACCACAGGCTTTGATTACTTCCCAGAACTTAAACGTAAGACCCTGTTGCTGAAGACAGGAATCTGTCAGACACAGGACTTGGAACAATAAAGCTGGATTTGATGTGGAAGTCTTTGTGCTGAAGCCTAGCTCCCATGGTATCAGAAGATACTGTTCAAAGTGTCAAGGGAGAAAATGAATCAATGAGCCCATCCAGCTGTAAATTCTATGAACCACAACAATGATCAGCACAGCAAGTAATCTGTACTGGGGCAGTAGTGACATTTTTATCTTAGGATAATCAACAACTATTGGACTTAAGATCTGATCAATCGGAGGAAATTCATATATAGTCCTATAAACATAGCCAAATACACATGGCTATCCTAGAGAAAACACTACTTTTGTCACATACCTAGATGAATGTAATTTAATTTCTTACTGTATTCTAAAATGTATCCTTATATTTATAGATGAGTGTACATCTCACTCATTAAAGAAGCTTCTTTTGCAACAGGTGGAGATTATTATTAAGTTCCACAATTGGTCAAATGCACAGAATAAGTGTCTGTGAGATGTTCAGTCCTAAGTGACATATATAACCTCTACATCAGGTAACACAGCAGAATAGGGCATAGAATATTAATACATCTCTCACCTCTTTCTAGCAAAGTTTCCTTGTTGAACAGGTGGTGCTTAACCCAAAAAGACATGACTGGCCAAAATGTAGAGGAAAAGAGACTGCAGTGTTCTTGTCCCTGGATAGGGCACCTATATTGAATCTCTACCACCCAAGGCTCAGGGACTATTGCAGAAGAGGGTGTGAGAGTTAGAGGTAGGCGAGGAGAGAGTTTTCCAGACAGCTGGGAAGTGACTCGTATGAACCCACAGCAATGGTAACACCAGGCACAGAACCACGAAACCTCAAGCCAGACAAAATTCCAGCACAGAAGTTGGAAAAACCCCCATCCTTAGTTGAGGAACTACTGGTAACTGATATCTGCTAGGAGAGGGAGAGTCAGTTTTCTTTAAGGGTGTGACCTTAGATAGGTTTGCCAGGCTCTAGGGCATGGACACATAGTGAAGGACATATGGGGACACAAAGTTCACTCAGTAGGACTTAATATATATTACAGAGTACATGAAATCCAGCAGGGTATGGGACAATAATGTGCAGACAGATGAGGAAGTCTAAATATGATCAAAATATATTATGTGGAAATTGTAAAAACTCAGTTAAAAATCAGTGTCGAAAGAAAAATGCTTCAGCAATTGCTCCTCAGTTGAGTCACTACGGGGTCACCTTTATCTCTCACAGTCTTTACCCAGATTTCATTTATTGTGCTGTACTTTCACACTCTCCCAAGTTCTCACAAAGCACATAAACAAATATTTTAAAATATACTTCTATTTATTATACCCACTATTCTGTAACTTTTTACACACAAAACACTCGAAAATCCAGATCACTTTTTCTAAGTGACATCAAATTCCACTGTGAAGCCTATCACAATTAATTTAGTCATTTCCGCCTTGGTACAGTTGTAACATGCAACTATTTACTAGAATGACCTAACAGTAATGTACAGAATGAACATATATATATATATATGTCCATTTTTAAAACTATAAATTATACAGTTATTTCAGAGTTTTTTATTCTTTACTCTGAAATTTATACATATTTTGACATTATTTGGTTAAGATTATGCTATTTTTAAACATTTAAACATATACACAACACACAGACACCCACCACTGAGTAAAGGATGCAATAGTATTTTGTCTTATGAATCAAGTTACATTGTTTTATTCCTATTTCAAAATGCTTATTTTAATTCAATTTTCATGTCTATTTTATTAAATTCTGTGATTTTGTAGAATATTGATGTAAGTGCATTTCTACTTGAAGATACCCACCAATAGTCTCCTCTCAAATTCTTTGATTTAAATTTTTTTTATCTATTCCTATCAATGTTCATGAATTGCTTTTGATGCACCAACCAAAACGAGCACCTGATGAGTCTTACAAACTCTCTGAGGGTGAACATGCATCCTGTCTCATTTCCCAGAGAACCGATACCTGAAACCCTTTAAGCCAGAATCTACTTCTTATTTTTAACAAATGTTATTACTAAGCCCAGGCTAAATGGATGAAATTAAAGACTGAAAATAGTACCAAATTTTATTAATAAATCTGTTATGACACTAAGAGATTCCTAGATACATCAGTATCTAAGATGTATTTAAGATCAGTATTTAATAACATGCGGTTTGTGCTTTTCTGCTGTTTTGTTTGATTTTCCCACAAAGCTACAGACTTGCTCCTCAGCATCAATTCCCTGCTGCCATCGATGACTGTGTTTCGGTGGTCAAGATCTTTCTCCAGGATAAAATTCTTGCAAAATATGGAGTGGATCCCACTCGCATCTGTATTTCAGGAGACAGCTCTGGGGGTACATTGGTGGCAATACTGACTCAAATGGTATGTTATCTATCTTATACATATTTGAAATCTACACACTTTAGTTCTAACACTCAATGTTTCAGTGTCAATTTTTGTATTACTTTTGTATTGTCTGAGAAATGTAAAATAAACACATTTGTCTTCCTTTTGCATGGTATTCGCTTTAGATGTGGCTTTTATTAGGTAATTCTAGAGAAAGCTTTTATTTTCCTACTTTTTAAAATAGTAGGTATCAAGTCTGGAGAGATGACTCAGCAATTAAGAGCACTGGGGGCTCAATTCTCAGCACCCACAAGGCAGCTAACAACTGTCTATAACTCCAGTTCCAGGGAATCCAAAGCCCTCTTCGGACTTTCCTGGGCATTGACCAACACAGGTGCACTTACATACACGCAAGGCAATATACTCATACACATTAAATAAATAAATAAAAATAAATAAATTAATTAAAAATAAGCATTATGGTTGGCTTTGGTTGTCAACTTGACAGAGCTGGGAAGAGGGAGCCTCAATTGGGGAATTTTCTCTATGGAATTGGCCTGTGGGAATGTCTGTGAGGCATTTTCTTGATTGTTGAGTGATGTGGAGTCCATGGTGGGCAGTGCCACCCTGGGCAGGTGGTCCTGAGTTGTATAAGAAGGCAGGCTGAGCACCAGTCAGAGGAGCAAGCCTGTAAGAAGCTTCCTCTGTGGTCTCTGCCTTAGCTTCTACCTCCAGGTTCTTACCTTGAGCTCTTGCCCTAGTTTCCCTTAAAGATGGACTGTAAACTCTACGGTGAATATCCTCCCCACTGCCCAAATTGCTCTTTGGTTCTGGTGTTTATCACAGCAACAGAAAACTTACCAGAACACTAGGCATTGAATCTAGGACTCTGTGATTGCTAGGAAAATGTTTACTGAGCTATGCAAGCATCTCATTTAAAACTTCTTTTGAGACATGCTCTTGATAAGAACAGGCTGACCTTGATCTTGCTCTATAGTCTATTTAGGCCATAAACTTGAGATCCTCCAACCTTACCATACCATGTACCTGGAATTCCAGGTTTCCAACATGGAGCCCTGCTTATCCCACTAATATTAAGAAAAATATACAACAATGTCTGTGAACTACTATTCAATATGATAGATTTTATAGTTGTTGTTCATTTTCCATACATAAATTCTAAAATCCGTCAAGATTTTTGAATCACTATAACTGATGCACATTACTTATTTTCTTCTCTTTGTGATTAAACACATGACAAGAAGCTATTTAATGGAGACAGAGGTTATAAGACCTTATGGTTTGAGAAGGCAAAAGGAGGAACGGAAGTGGGATAAGCTTATCACTGTGGGAGCAGGAGTGTGAGACTGTTTCTCACGTCTTTCCAGACCAAGAAGCAGAGAGAGACAGTTGCTTATACTCTGCCTCATATCTCCTTTCTATTCAGTGAAGTTCTAAACCCCTGGGAGGTGTCATCAATATTCAGGATGGATCTTTGCTCCTTAGTTAATACTTTCTGAAAAGTGTATATACACACACACACACACACATACACACAAATAGAGAGAGAGAGAGAGAGAGAGAGAGAGAGAGAGAGGAGAGAGAGAGAGAGGAGAAGAGAGAGGTTTGCTTTAATCTCTCAGGTGATTCTAAATCAAGTCACATTGACAAAGACTATTAGCTATCACAATAGGTAACTTGATAGAGTGTCATAATAACATTAAGCTACATGACCTGGTTGTGTAGAGGAATCAATACTCTGATGAGAGAGAAAAGCATCTTCATATTAAAACTCAAAGCTAAATAGGACATTTATATCACAACCTCTGTAAAAGTCTAAGAAAGCATCTCGAAAATGGGCCCAGAATGATTGTAAGACATAGAGGTGGTAGATGACAAGAAAAGAGTGTTTTCTGAACTCATCTGGGCAGCTGCACACAGAAATCTAAGTGTTTGTGACAGCATACAGAAGACCTGTGCAAGCCCAAGCCAGATAAAATCCCAGCATGGAGGATGGGGAGTGGGGTACGGAGCCCAGTCCAAGCTATTCAACTACTGGAAATGAGAGCTTCTGGGAGAGGGAGAGTCAGTTTTCTTTAAGGTTGTGACCACATTCCAGGGGATGGACCCACATTTAAGAACTTTAGGGAACACAAACTGGACACCATAGGGCTTAAAAATATAGATGTCACAGTGTGGGCAGTAGGAAGGTGGGGAATTTGAGAGGATGTGGAGAAGGGTCCTGAATATGTTAAAAATATATTATAAAAATTCTCAAAATCAATAAAATGGTTCTTTTAAAGAAGTTTTAGTTTTAAAAATCTGAAAAAATCACTTAATGTACATTAATTTAACCTATTATAAATTATACCATTCCTTGGCATATACCCAAAGGACCCATCCTATTGTAGAGACACTTGTACCACCATGTTTGTTGCTGCTCTTTACATAATAGCTGAGATGGAAGCAACCTAAGTGTCCCTCAACTGACGAGTGGATAATGAAAATGTGGTATATTTACACAATGGAGTTCTGTTTAGCAGCAAAGAAAGATGAAATACTGAAATTTGCAGGTAAATGGATGGAACTAGAAACTGTTATACTAATTGAAGTAACACAGACTCAGAAAAACAAATGACATATGTTCTCCCTCATATGTGGATCCTAGCACCAAATCCTTTTAAATTCCATGTCCTTTAATAAGATGATGCTGTACAGCAGTCTCTTCTGTATGAAATAACTACCATCATCACAACTTCAGCTGTGCCTGGTCACTAAACATTGTCACAATTGGGCTTGTTGACGGATATGCTCATTCATTAAAGGAGGGCCAAGCAGGGACATTGGACCATCACCAGATTTTCCAACCATTCTTCTCAGCCAACTGTATGTAATTTGTCCCTAATCACACATCGTCTCTTGGATTTGGGAAAGGCTAAAGTATATAATCTGGGGAAAGCTTGGAAGAGAAGGCATGACCAATGTTGAGTAAAAGTTTTCCAGTGTGCACATCCTCAGGTCATACATACACCTCAGCAACCCCTCAGTTATCTCAGTAAGTAACCTAAGTAAATTCATTGGTTCACCAGTAAAACTTTAATCAAACATTGGCTTGACACTAGAACCTAAAGAGGGAATAAGCATTGCTTAGCATCCCCAGGAAAATAATTCTCACAACAGATAGAAAATATTTTTATTAATGCTGTTATGTCTCATAATTATTTAAAAAAAGAAAATGAGAATGTAAAAGATGTTAAAAGGATATAGGAATGGAGATATTTTCCAAAATAGAAAGAATGAGAAAGCCTAAGCAAGTGATGAAGGTCTGTGTAGGTTTGTTTTGATATATAAAGGATGAGACAAAAATAATATACACATAATCTTAAAATTTCTAAGGGGAAAATATATATCTAGTCAAGGCTTATTTGAGAATATTTGGGCTTTTGCCAAAGCTTTATATACATAGCACATGATAATTAAAAATACTAGACTTGTGGAAATAACCTTATTGGATGTTCAACAGCCATACTTTGAGGCCTATACTAATCTGGTCAGAGGGACTTAAAGGACAGTTTTTGCCTCTTTCCCTCCAAGGTGGACTAAATTCCTGGGGACTATGGAACATCTCTCAAAATGTCCTATAGCTGTGATGAGTCACCTTGCTTTTGTGTTCAGGGAGGCCATGGAGACCCCACGAGGTGGACTTGAACCAGTCCACCCATCCTGACAAAGAGGAGGGTCAACTCAGAGGAAACATTTCCTCCATGCTTCCAAGTGGAGCCAGACATTGTTGAGCAGCACCTTTGACTTATCTTCACATAGATGGAACTGGTAAAAGAAAGGAACCAGGAGCTCCTCCCAAGCCCATGTGACCCCTGAGGAACAGATCCTCAAATGACCTTAAGAGTAAGGTATCTCTCAATTCCTGAATATTCCATTCTTGTGATTTCTTAAATTTTTCATAATC